TCATTATTTTTACAGACTCCTTGTGAAGGATAGGACTTCAACCATACCATGTGAGGCTGAGACAACTGAATTTTTATATAGTTAAAGGGCTCCAATTGCCCTACTATTTACCTATAGCAGGAGACAGAATTGGTTTTATGCCTTTCTCAAGGGAAACAGTGCAAAGTGAATGCCAACTATCTGAGCCAGAATTTGAACTTGCTTTGCCAATTCTATCCTCTGTGCTGTTAACCATTAAGCCAACCATACTTTCAATAATACATGTCATAACCAAGTGTAATATTACAAAATAACACATTTAACATTTTTAAGAATGGGGTGAAACTGATATGTTTTTTTAGATTCTATAATAAAAGAGGAATATTTTTTAAAAAGCAAATAGACCTTCAAACTACTGACACTGAAAATAAAAACAAAAACTATATACTGATATGTATGAGGCTATAAATACTAAATTGAATCAGAAGATGACATCATGCCAAGTGTCTGTCATGTTGTCAGTAGCCTTGGAAAGGATAATTTCAAGAAGATGAAAAACAGAAGGTTAAATAACTAATGAGGGTGAAATTTGATCCAGAAAGACTTAAGACCTAATTTAGCATTTAATGTCCCATGACAAATAGCTTGTCCAGACATGTCAGTTAAGTCAGTCAATCATTCAAGTTATTTGGCTGCTTGACACTGAAGAAATTTTATTCAGTTTTCAAAATTTATTAATTTGAACATTTAATGTTTGTCTTTTTAGTTCTTTATTATCATGATTTACTGCTTTAATAATTTCTCTTTTCAATGAATCATGTTAACTTAGTTTTATAAAATAAACTCAGAGAAATATATTATTCACAATTTAATTGTCTGCTAAAGATTTGTATAAATAAAGAGCTCCTACCAATTAGCAATTGTTAGTAAGCTATTATCGAATACCATTATTAGTAAATTTAATCCTCACTAAGTGCATCATGAATGTTAACTCATATAAAAATTGGCTTTGTCCAGTTTTAATGTGAAGCCACTTAGTTTAATGCATCAGAAACATAATAGTGCAATGACTTCTTAAAATAATAAATCTGCAATGGAGAAATACCAATTGCATTTATTCCAACACAATCTCATATGTCAAATCAAATTATATAATTATGATAAGTCTATCAATCTGAAGTAAGTTTGGTTTATTTGGGTCCAATATAAAAGGGTGTAATTTCTGTCAGAATGTTGAATTTGGAACATAATTTATACTGATGTAGGGTCACTTATAACTAAAATTTTATTGAGCCAAACATCTTAACATAAAGAAACTGTTTTAATGTTTTTTTTTCACACATACCATCAGTGCAAGCAGAAACTAAACTTATAAAATCATATGCCAATATCTCATTCATACACCTGATAACTTTAATAGATATATTTTTAGTTGAACAATCAATCAGAGACTGCATGCCAACAAGTTTCTCACTAATTTTAAAGTTCTTATCAACACTTCTAATAAAGAGAAGAAGCTAGCCTCTATCTTGGTAATATGTGCTTTCATCCGTAGCTGAAGAATAAAAACAGAATTCTCTGGCTGTGCTTTAACTTATCATTTACATTGGCAGCAACACCAGCTTCTATTTATGAGACACTGATATTCTCTGGACACAATCCTGATACAGCAATTAACGTACACTTCTCTGTAATACTCTGTTTATGTTTAACATATCTTAGTAGCAACAGCAATTTCCCTTGAAATTTGAAGGCATTTTTGGTATTTAATATTTGCCAAGATTATTTTACAAAACTGTTCTTTTCTGATAGATTCAGTTTCTTAAGAATATGATATTTCATTTAAAAGTGCTACCTCAAATTATTTTCTTTTGGAATGGATATTGTTTTATGACACAAAAGGCACACTATTTTGTTTTTGGAAGCTCTAAATAATGGTTAAAACCCATGTGCTCTGTTTATATATTTTTTTGTTGCTTTTCACCTATGGTATTCAATAAACAGCATAATACTGCTAAGGCATTTAAACAAATGAACAAGATATAAAGTACACAGTAAAACATCAGTTGAATGCCATTCTTCCATGAAATTGCACACAGTCTGTTACAGATTTATTCTAAATAGCACTCAGTGTTATCAAAGAAGCCTACATGTCTGAAATGTGCTGAAGACATAAAACTAAAAAATAAAAAAAAATACTGGGTGGCCATCAAATGAATCAAAAGCCCCAATTGTGAGAGTTTTTTGCAACGAAGGCCTTATTTTTTTCAAAATCTCTCATAGGTCATATCAAAATCTTTGTGAGCTGTATATACTCAGCAGCCTATATGTTGTCTAAACCTAATTTAATGTTGTAAGCAATCAAAATATTTATATATTTTTGGGGAAATCTACAATATTTGATCAGTACATTATATCTCTTTTGAAGTTTTTTCTTCACTTATTTATAATATACATATAGTGAGTTAACAAAATGACAAAATGAAAAAAATTACCTACATATGTGGTTTGTCCTACAGAAGGGCTTCTTCAGACTGATAATGGCTTTATGAAAAGAATCTTGTATGTATAGAGGTGGGAGATGAAATACAAAATATTGATTATAATTCTACACCAAGAAATGTTTAAAATAGTGAAACGCTTAGCTTTAAATTTAATTTTTAACATCTGATTTATCTAGATACATAATCTAACCAACTTCATTTAGCTTTCTACTGCTTATGTTTTGATTGCAACTGCTTACAAGTATCCCACATTGCAACAGTAATAGTTTTGTTCTAAAAGGAGATATGTTTTATGAACCGGGACAAAAATTTACTGTTGAGGATTCCAAAATTATTGAACTTTCTATACATTTTCCCCCCTTAATAAATTACTCTTAATTAAAGTTGGATTTTTAATATCAAAATTATAGTCAGACTTATGTTGAATGACTAATGCATTGAGTGTGTTATTTTGTAAAAAATATGTGTTTGTATAATATTTTAAATTCCTAGATGTTTCACCTATGTATTTCTTGGGACTTTTTTACAGTCTGTTTTGTAAATTTCTGTTTCAGGCATTAGGTTTTTATTATTGTCTTTGAAGTAGTTGTAAAGAATTTTATATGAAATTTAGATAATTTATTTTAGTTTATTTTCATTATTGAGTTTGTAGGTAGCATTATGTGCCTTCATGTGCACACACACACACACACAGAGTACTGTGTAAAAGAACCCCTAAGATAATATTAAAAAAAAATGTCACTTTTTTTTCTAGATAATCAACAAATCTTAATTAAATTATATATTCATTAAGAAGAACCTTTATTAAATGAATTACAACCATTTTCAAAATGTTTTATCAACTGGAGTAAAAATATTAATTAAAAATTAAGATGTTCAAAAGTAAGTGAATCCTTACATTTAATATTTGGTGACTGCTTCTTTTGAGGTCATGACATCAACCAATTTTTCTATAATTTTTAAGAAGTTCTGGCAGTAATGAGCATCAATTTTTGACCATTCTTCTTGGCAAACCCCACAATTATTTGATATTACATGGGTTTCTTCCATGTACTGTCTTCTTTAACTTGAACCACAGATTTTCAATTGGGTTTAGATCAGAACTTTGACTAAGCCATTCCAAGACTTTAAATTTATTTTTTCAATACATTTTTTGTGTTGATTTGCTTTAATGTTTCAGATCATTGTCTTGTTAGAAGTTTCAACACCAATGTAAACCCAACATTCAAACCAAGGGCAAGACACTTTTGTCCAAAATTGCTTGGTATATTGTAGAATCCACTGTACTGTCAATGTGTACTATTTTGCATGTTCCAGCTGGAGCAAAGCATCTCCAAATCAAAATGCTGCTGCCACTGTGTTTAGCTGTTGGCACCATATTCTTCTCTTCAAAAGCTGTATTAGGAGCTCACCAGACATATTGTTTCTCCAAAAAAGCTCTAATTTGTTCTCATCCAACCATAAAAACTTTTGCCAGAACATTTCTAGCTTATTAATATGAGCTTTGGCATAGTTGATCTTGTTTGTGCTTTTTCGTAAGAAGTGGCTTTTTTCTAAGCATACTTTTATGAAGACAAACATCATTCAGATTTTGTTGCACTATAGACATAGGCACATGATTCTGACATTGAGCCTTAGAGAACTGCAGAGGTCACAGCAGGATTCACCTGGGATTGCCAAAATAGATGTCTACTTGCTCTTGCAGTTAGTTTTTGCAGACAGCCACTTCCATTAATAAATGATTTATCACACAGTGGAGACGTGCACTCCAAATCATTTTTCCAGCTATTTGTAGCCTTCTTCATTATTATAGACTTCAAATATGTGATTTTTTAAGGCTTCAGGAAGTTCTTTTGATTTTGGGCATATTTCGTTTTTAATTTTGTCTCTAACTGCATCCTTTTGCATACACAATGAGTTATTTTGGTTGATTGTAATATACACAGCTTACCAAAAAAATGAACAGGTGACATTTTGATTTTTACATGTGCACAAAAAATGATTTTCACTGGCAGCCCTGTAAAACAAAAATAAAGAGTATAAATGTAAGAGTTCACTTATTTTGCACATCATAGTTTTTAATTAATATTTTTATTCCAGTTTGCTAAAATTTTTTGAAAGTGGTTGTAATTCGTTTAATAAATGTTTTTTTCTTAATGAATATATACTTTAATTAAGACAATTTTTTAAAATATTATCTTAGGGGTTCACTTACATTTGCACAGCATATATATATATTGAAACCTTTAATATTTTTTGAGTAGAATGTAAACTTATTTTTATCAGCAGAAATTGTATACTAATCTACAAGAAAATTATAACTGATATTTCAGCAAATGATAGTTTCTTCTAACAATGATTAACTCAATTCTAAACTTAAAACTGATCATCAGTCTCTTAGAAAAATGTTCTTTTTCTGTTGTATATCTTCCCTAAACTGTGCATCAAAAGAGCTCAATCCAACTATTTAGCACAAGAAGTTTTAACTTTTATCATAATGTTTTCATTTGTTTTCAGAACATTCAAATAGCCATCACAAATTTATGTGAGACAGTTACTGATGACCTGGAAGGAGGCCCAAGCAGGATATCAATAGAAAAATTTGAATTCTTTTACACTTATCTGGCAGCACTTGATGAAGAAATCCAACCAGACTATGTTTCAGATGTATTAAAACATTATAAATCAGTGGCGTAAGTACATTTCCTTATAAATTATCAAATATACACTGATATATATATTATTAATAAATATACATACATTTGTAGTGCAACTTAAAGTTTCATGGTTTTTAATCCTAAAAGGATAAGTTGGTAAAACCACAAAACTTTAAGTTGCACTATGAACGTAGATATATGTATATTTATTAATATATACTTCTTAGCTCTGTCTAGCGACATTGAAAACTGTTTTGTTTACACCTTATATTAAATTAAGTAAATATTTATTCACTTACCTGTGTATGCACACTAATGCACATATACACAGTTGCTAATCTCTAATTATTTGGTTTATATCCACATTTATACCTATATATATGTGGGTGAATATCTATATAATCACAAGGAATTTTGTTAGGATGATGATGCAAGATGATTCTATATCTAGAAAAATTATTTGTATATTTTTTTGTGGGTGAATGATTTTAGTAAGAAAATAAAAGTAAATTAACTTTTTATTAATTTTTATACTAAATCAAAATTTGTTAAAAACTTGATAATCTAGATATATTGAAAATAGCTTTTGTCAATATCATGTTTTAATTTGGATTCTCTAATTTTTCCTTCCTGTGCAGTGATTTTGGATGATTCACTTACAAAATTCAAGTTCATATTTATCTGTCTTTCAGGAGCCATCATGATGGATATATACAGCCGAGCTTCTTTCAGGTTACAGAGTCTCCATCTTTGTATCCTAAAAAATAAATGGAAATTCATTTATCTTTTTAATGAACAAAAACTCAATAAAAATGCCAAAAACTTTTAAGCATTAAATTCATTTGGATTCTAAAGAAAAATATTTTCAAAAATTATTTAACAATGTTCTCTTATTTTTTTATCGAATTTCTGGTAATAAAATAAAAGTCATGGAATTATTTGTGCCTAAAATATTTCTATGAAATCTTTTAAGAATAACAAATTAATAATGGATATTTGCAAATAATATTTATCAAATGGCAGAAAGAAAATATATCTTTCTATTGGATACTTGTCTTTCTGATCTACTCATCTCAATATGCTAGCTGCCAATACAAGTGGACAACACAGGAACCACATGATGGTTAAGTCCATCTCTTACCAAGGGCAGTCCAGAACTCTCCTCAATCCCAAGTGAGACTGTTAATGTAGACCAGCAGTCAGATATACCTTATTTCCTGTTTTGTTGCCACCTGATCACCAAAAACCCTATTCATACATTTACTTCCTTGAGATCAAGATAAAACAACCACTTTCTTTTCTCGTTTCCATAGTATCACACCCAGTCTAATTTTCATTAGGCACACAAAAGAATATTTTGAGCAAGCTATTATACCCTTCTTTCATTCCTAATTTAAATCTAATTGTAAATAAACTCTCTTTGATTTCACACCAAGTAAGAGTCCTTTTCTTGCTTGCCTGATAACCACACTAATTTTTGTTTTGTTTATTTTATATTGGAAAAAAAATGCAATAATGTACCTAAAACGGTTCAAGATACAGTATAAATGGTTGCTGAAACTTGAGTGAGCAGTTAGTTGAGGGGTGGTCAGCCTGAGACTGGAAATGATGTGAATGCATTTTTTCTTGCCCTTGACAGAGAAGATTCCTGGCTGCTATTTACCAGTCCTGCTCTTCTCATGGCTACTTATCTAAAGCATATACTGATTGAAAACCTGTGTCTGGATAATGTTTTTGGTGTATCAATGATTTTTCCTAAGGTTACAGATGTACAGTTAATATGAGGAAGAGTATTAACACTACAAGAATTCTCAAAGATGACAATAATATATGATTTTAATGCTTGGAATGTTTCAGTCTGGAAAAATATTTATCTTGAAACATAATAGAGATGACTACAATGACCACTTAAATAAATTAGTAAACCACGTTTCATGAAATACTTGACTTTAAAAAGCTGTTGCGCATACATAATGGTCAAATATATTTAATTTGTACACAGAAGAAGTAAAGATTGTCATAATGTAACTTTGGAAAATATTTAAATAATTTGAAAGCAAATATAAGTACAAATATTGAGTGTTTCATTTTAGTCTTTATTTTTATTCTCATTGCCCTTCACACACACACACACACACACACACACACACACACACACACACACACACACAGAGTACTGTGTAAAAGAACCCCTAAGATAATATTACAAAAAAAAAATTTCACTTTTTTTCTAGATAATCAACAAATTTTTCAAAGTAAAATAGAAAAAATTATTTCAAAGGGAAATAATTTCAAATTAATAAGCTCTTTAATGGGAATCTTCATTTGAACTACACATGCACACAGAAACTTTGTCCAAAGTTATTTTTTGTATAATGAACATGGTTTTATGTTCTCTACAAATTACAAAGTGGTTCTTGAAAATAGAGTGTGATCCTCTTATGACAAAGGAGCAGAAAAAAAGTAAAAAAATGGACTCTTTTTCCACACTCCATCAATAGATTGTAACATTACATCAACAAATTTTGAACTGTATTTTCTCCTAATCAATAGTTTATTGTTCCCCAGTTAGCCACAAACATCAGCCTTAAAATCTGTGAGCTGATGAAAAAACTGGAATTAGTAGGGGTAAAAAGGTTAAAAATTTAATTTAAATAAACAAAATCCTAAATAAATATTAATTTTATTGACAAAAATATTTAAATACCAATTTGGATATTGAGTTTAATTTTCCAAGAATGCCATTTCACAAATTCTGTGAGTCAATATAATGTTCTTTTCATCTCTGAATAATTAATGAAAATGATTTTACAAGTCACTCACTGTACATACTTTTAATAGTTAAAAATGTGTACAGTTTTTAAAGTATTTTTTTAACTGTTGCAAGTTATGTCATGTAAAATAATGTTCCTTACAAGATGGAAAAGGAAATCATTGGAGGTGAGGTGCAATACAAGCATTGATGGTGCTTGCTAACAAAACAGTTAAAGTCTATTTCACTCTACCCCTGTATAAAGTTAATATGTTTTGTGCAAATTTGACACTTTCTTTTTAATACTAACTGTGAGCTTTTTGGCACATTTAACATTGAATAATTATTTCTCTTCAGGATTAATTTATAGAATATTTAATGCAATTTAAAGTACCCTAGTTGAATTTTATTTAAAAAAAATATAAGTGAGTGTAATGCTTATTTAAAATTAAGTCCCATCAAAATTAAAATTTAGAGTTTTAAAATAAGGTTTGACTGAATTTCTAAGTGCATAGATACTCCTATAAAAACAAAAATTGCTGCTATATGTCCCTAATAAGTGACAGAGAAGGCATACATTCTTCCTAACAAAAGAAGAAAGAAAAAAAAAACTTCCAAGGCTGAAAGTCTTAAGGAATACTGCTGAGAATATTAAAATTTTAAAAATGGAATTATTCTTTAATGGTAGAAAACCTGGCAGCCAAATAATAGCTTGTCAGGTCAGAAGTTGAGAAATTCTTTGCTGCATTTTCAAAGAACTCATTTTCTAGATCCTCATTGATTGACTTGCTGCTAGAATTCATTTTTTGGACAATTATTTGATTTCCTCCCAGATAAGAGTTTTTCTCATCTCCATCTAACAAATTCAAATTTTTTAACATCAACTAAAATGCTGCCAATAAATAGTTTTATATCTGTGAGGCAAATCTTCCAGAATTTCTTTTATCATTTTTTCATTCTTAAAAAAAAAATATGTTTGACAATTGGGATAAAGAATCTAGCATAACTATGTGTCATTCTGGAAGATGTTAAGTGATTGGACAAATGAATTCAAAACTCCTAAGTATTCAGATATAGGAGAACTGCTTAAAACTACACAAGTTCAAATGTCTATTAGAGAATTAAGGCTGTCTTCACTGTCTTTCAAAAACTCAAGTTCATTTTGGTGGCCACTGATGCATATATATATATATATATATATATATATTTAGTTGGATTGATGTGAGTTTGTAACCCTGGGTTTCACGCTTTTGCGATCATCAGACAAACGATCGTAAAAAGTGTGAAACCGAGGGTTACAAACTCACATCAATCCAACCAAATATGGTAGCTCTATCTCTGATATTGAGTGCTTTCTAATAAGTACTGCACATATAATATATAAATAATTATATATATATATATATATATATATATATATATATTTATTTATATTTATATACACACACTTTTCACATATATATATATATATATATATATATAGGTATATATATATATATATACATACACACACACACACAAAAGAAAAATACCTAATTTAAGTTTCTTTTTCTGCAGTAGATGTGGTTGGTGTTTGAAGCAAAAATTATCATGTGCTGTTTTGTATAAGTCTGTATGTATGTATGTATGTGTGCATGTGAGGGGATATCTATGTGGCTTTGGGTGCATTCAGAGAGTCCCCAAATGAAAGAGTAAATATTGTTTTTAATTTTTTTTTTTTGTGAGGTGGGGGGAGGTCATATCTCTAATGGTTAAGGAAAGTCATGTGGTGTGATTATTGCTATGTTTGCATGGTGATGACAGCAATTCTGCTTTTTCGTGTGCATTTTTACACTTGATGAAATTGGAAAATCTATTTTTATTATTCATGTGTGTTTTTAAAGTCTCAACAGGCTGTTTTACCTGGTTATAACTGAGACCTTTAAGGAGGAATGCTTTATATTTTTTTCCTTACTTCATCTGGGAGCATTGTTGTTGCTTATTCCACATAGCTTGAAATTTGGTCAATGTAGATTGATAGTCTTTTGTACACAGCATTTCCAAAAATCGCCTCTGTATTTTTTTACAGAAATTCAATTATGTCTGCTGCAGCATCAGTGATATGTGGAAATTTGTAAAACCTTACACTTTCAATAGTGATTGCGTTATCTTCAAAGCATTTTCTCAGAAACCTCCGTAGTAGCTGATTCCTTGAAAGTCTTCGCAAAGTTACTTGTAGCATCTGTCACTACACCCTTACACTTGTGGATCCACTATTCCTTTAGTTTATTTTCAATAATTTTGGTCAGAACATATGTATGATTGCCACTCAGTTTGAAACAGGCTAGGCCCACAGGCTTCTTGTTCCAGCCATTGTCTATGTAGTGGGCTGTCATAGGAAATAGCTTTTGCTGCAAATTGACTATAACATAATTCAGTTCTGTAAAGAGCTTTCAAAGACCTCTTCATTTCCTGAAACCTCTGGGTGAAAGACATTGTCAAAAGAGCAAGATAAGAGAGGTTTTACAATAGCCTGCAGGTATTGCAGGAGTTCATTGAAATTGTTCTGAACCAAAATGAAATTGAGTCCAGAGTTCATAATCAATTCATAGACTGTTATTTATCCCTGTCTGGCTAATCTTCCTAGATAGCCTAGACATTTTCGATTTTGGCCTGCTTAAGTCTACCAAGATTCTCATCAACTGAATACTTCCTCCTTCCTTTGGCTAAGGCTTTCTCATACACTTTGATATATGGCACCTCTGAATACATCTCTTCACATTAAAGAGATTGCTAATCTTGAGCAAGTTGGAGATGCACTGGAAAAAACATCAAACTTTGTCACACACACACAAAAAAAATAATTCCAGGAGCCAGGCAGATTGGAATTTTAAGCTGGTATTCCAAATTTGGGATTGACTTAAGTTGACAAATGACTAAAATGGAATACAGCATTTGGGCATTTTCATTCTCACACTGCAAAATAGTAAAAAAAAAAAAAAAAAAAAAAAATCACTATGTAGCAGAGTCCAAAGAA